AGACTTGATTTACTTCATAGTACCTACTCTGATATCAATTTTCTAATTTAGTCTAATATTCACAACACATTCCCTGAAAAATGTAAACCCTGCCAAATGTGAAGCTGTGGCAGTATAAAAAAAAATAATAAGTGAAGAAAGGAGATCAGACCCATAAACATACCATTAAACTAAGTCACAGTTTGCCACCTACTTCCTCTTAAGTAGGTCTTTAAAACTGTTTTTTCTTAGTAAAATCTACCCAAAAATTCCCAGACACATACTAGGATTAAATACAATCAAACCACATTAAAGGAATAGCATTTGGCATCACAACAAGGGTTTATCTGTCAAGTCACATACACTTTGTAAGCACAACAAAGTAGAAGCTAGCTCAAAGCAATTCCCAGCACTGCAGCACTGGTTCTGTTCACCTAAACTGAATAGGTTGGTAATGTAACAAAATGACTTGATACACACTGAGGTATCTTGGGTGCATCACACTGCTGTGCAGTGCTGTTTAAAGGTAATCTCAAATTTCATTTCTGTTACACTGCAAGTATCAAGCCCATATCAGTACCAGGATTATGTCACTGAAGGTGGTTTATAAAATCATTGGCATTTCTAAAAGTTATGTGTTCCTCAGATGGAAGGCAGAGTGTATACTATAAATAACACACATTACTGCAATAATAGAATAAGTTGATGTGCTTCTTACTGTCCCCTTAAGCTAGCTGAAAGCCATCCATTAGTTGAAAATAGTACACAAGCTTTAACGTGCAGTTTTGTGGTAAAGTAGAACTAGAACCTTAATTACATTGAAGATCAAGTGTTTATATTCTATATATAGAATATCCATATTCTAAGTGACCATACTCTATATTCTTCTATATCTAAGTGTAGTTTTATCAACCTTTGAACTGTTGGAATTGTGCTTAATGTTGGGAAAAAAAAGATACCGTGCAGTTTCTTTTAACCATGCAACTCCCAGGACATGCATACAATATTTTGCCCCTAAACTCTTTTCCTTTTCCCCAGCCACAAGACTTTTTCATAGTTAAAAAAAAAAAAAAAAAAACCTAACAAAAAGTATTTTTGACCACTTCTGAGATGTCTGCATTCCAGAGAACTTTAGAAAAACATAGACTATATTTAAAGGGATACTGTATGAATTCTAATTTTCTCTTCCAGAAATTAGTGTATGTTTCTGATTTCTCACACAGAAGTTATGAAAATACTGAATTACCTTCCACTGTTTTGCACTCAAAACTTCATATTAAGCATACTTAGCCTTAATTTTCATTAATTTCCTAGAAAGAATTAGAACTCACAGGATAGGCAGAAGGGCCATCCTACTGGGGTAATGAAATATTATTTTAGATTGTATTTATCCAGATACTAAATATATATAGTGAAATATAAAGAATTGGGAACTTGTTGAGCAAATGTTTCTCATAGTGAAAAATGCATTTAATTTATATAAACTAAATATTCCTAAACATTACAAAAGAAAAGGAACAGCAGAAATCCACCATGATAATGACAATGAATAGAGAAGTGTACGTGCTTAACTTTTTAGTTTCTGTTAAGAAGTGTATTTAAAAACATTTAAGTACTTTGCATAGGGAGAGCTCAAAGATTAACACACGCAAAATGTTTCTTTTGCAAATACAAATTTGGAATCTTTTCACATGGCCTTTCATTTTTTGTATGGCTGTCCTGAGGGATAAACAGAAGAAAAGACTATTTTTAGTTCAGTTATGAAAAAAAGAAGTCTTTATGAGTACATATATTAGCATAAATCTAACACTAAGTATGTTTAGAAGGAAAAAAGGAATACTGAATTTTGAAACTTTATAGTAACAAAATATATACCTACTCGTTATGGGGATTGCTTTCAAATCCATTTTAATTTGCAAAACTTGTCTGAGAACAAGGAAGCATGTGATATTCTTAACCTCTTTTTTAAACTCAAATTTCAGTTTCATTGGGACACACAAAAATGCTACAAAACCCCTTTAATTAAATGCTTTCTCCTCTCCTAGCTCATTGTACTGCAAAATTCACAAACTCAAGATGAAAGTGAGAGCAAACATTTTTCATACAGGTGTCATATCCCTTTTGCATTACTATAGATAGCAGGAGACCACTATAACACCCAACACAAAGCTTTGCAGAGATATTTAGGTAAGCATGAAGAGGAAAAGCAGTACAAATGTTTTAGTGCAATACACCAACTTACACAACTAGATTACTTCCCCTACTGTGTCACAAAGTAGTGCCAATGCATTATATAAAATATACCCACGTTTAACATGCACAGAAAATCCCAGTTAATCTAAAATAAATGGCATATTTCTAATCAAATAGAACAGTTCAAGGATTTCATGCATAGACTGCATAATCCCTGATATCCTTCAAGAATGGAAATTAAGTTCCTAATAATATCAGCTCAGAGTTTTTCCCTTATTCAGTATGAATTAGACTGTGTGAGGAACAATTTAAAGGTAGTCCAGGAATACCCACAGAAACCACAGTCATTTCTTGGACATAAGCTAAAGTAACTCTACTCAATTTTGCAAAATACAATTCCATTTGCACTCTTACTTTCAGTAATCTATTACTTTTCGCCTGCACAAAACTGTCCAATCAGCTATTCTAAATATAATGTAAACACAGAATACATACCAAATTATGAAAAGTGTTGCCTTAAAGCATTATTTTTGCTTTGCAATTTATGGAACATAAAAAGGGAACTAAGAAAAACATTTTTAACCTCCAGAAAAATAAATATATTATTGGACAGCAAATGCAAACATTCTGAGTCAAAATTCTAGGGGTTCTCATGAAAGAGAATAATCTATTAAAAATAAATTGTGTTATTGTTCTCACATACAATAATACTGAAAATCCCCATCTTTCAAATCTCAGCACTGGCACTGCATCACTCATCTCTTAATTTAAAGCAAACAACTGGAATATGAAATTACAAGGTCAGTGCCTTCCTGTCCACCTTCAAAAATGAAATAAAATAATAAACCCTTTTTAGAGCTTATACTACCCTGTCTTTGGTCCTTTGGCACATAAAACCTTTCCTGGCTTATAAACTTACTCACTTTTTAGGCAGAATCCAAGAGAGAAAAGAGAATATTATCTTAAGTTCATTAACACTTCATTAAACATAACTTTCTTGGTTAAGAAAAAAATTAGATTAGAGAAAAAGACACTCAGGGCAGGCTAACCTACCCAGGGGCATACTTTTATTCTTTCTCTCACCAAATAAACTTAAAACATATGCAAGCTGTTACATTCTGGAAATAAGCTTTTTTTTTTTTTTTTTTTTTTTATTAAAGAGCTCCAAAAAATCATATCATTTTTTCTTTGTGTGATGAACCTAAAAGTACTTCCTTTAAGACAAAGTACAGAAGTTCTGTAAGCTTTAAGAAATGAAAGTAGTGTTTATTAAATATTTATAGTAAAATAAACGTGATACAATATGATCTCATCATAGCACTTTTTTATTTTTCCTGTTATTGAAGGAGTTTTTTAGTTAAAATTCTTCCTTTATTTGGCTATAGATACATATACGATGAAAACACACAAGATATTCCACCAATTTCTCAATTTTTTTTCTCAATTTGCTTAAAGATGCTCTATCATTTTCCTTTGCAAACTACTCTTAATCTGCTTTCTGCTTCATACTTAGTCCTTATGCTCCACTGAATATTTTTACTTCAAAATACGCAATGCTATTATCAGGTACTGTAATGTGATGGAAAGCACAGCTGTATTAGTAGAGTAGATCAATCAAAGGCTACAGCAAATAAAAACAAACTCAAATGCAGCAACCATAGATACAGAAATGAAGGGTAAATAAATAAGTAAAAAATAAATAAATAAATAAATAAATAAATAAATAAATAAATAGGAAAACCACTTACCCTTAGAAGACCTCCAAAAAGTAGGAAGCTCTAGAGAAATACCCTCTACTCTACTGCCAAATCTTAAATGAGGTCTGAGAAGGGGTGGAGTCAGGATCCAACCCTTCTGGTCACTTAGGTTTATTGCATGCACCTGAGCTCTCCTGGGTTGGTCCTGCCTTCCCACCAGGTTCAATCACTGTCTCAGGCTGTGATCTAGCATTTCTGCTGCAGGTACAATGATATCATTATGAAAACAGCTTTCCTACCCTGGTCAGATTTTGATATAATGCCTTCAGCGGAGACAGAAATAAAGTCACCTTTTTTAGTCTCAGTTCTGTGCTCAAGTGCTGATGCCACAAATCTTTCATATCATTTTCTCTAGTAGCAATTCCTATTTACTTTTGGGGAATCCATAACAATGAAAAACACAGGATAAATAATGCTATTATAAGTAGTAAGTTGTTAAACACAGGCAGTATCAAATCTGGAGTGAGTGACTAAGATACATAGCTTACAAGGTCTACAGAGGAGAGAGATGTTTCATGAGGTAAGACGATGTGTTTACTTTTTCAAGTATTCCCTGGAGGAGCTTTTTGTTTTTGTGAATAATATTCTTTATGTTTAATGAAATATTAGTATAACAGATTTAAAGAGAGGAAAAAAAAAAAAAAAAAGAAGTACAAAGAGAATGAATTAATCTAACTCACCAGCAGCATATTAACCTTAACAGAAAATAAAGCTAAAGAGAAAAACAGCCATAGCAGCGGATGTGAATTCTGGAAGAACGGGATAATAAGAGACAGTGGAGCTATGAACAGAAAACTATTTGTCAAGGCCAAATATCATTGAAAGATCACCTATCTTGATAGTTTGTATGTCAAAGAAATTTTTGCAGATATTTGATGTATAGAATGTTTTCAGTTTTGGCACAGGAGACATGCATGGGACTTGCAAAGCAAAAAGAGTTGACAGCAAACCACGTCAAGACTGAAACTGCTGCTAGCAAAATTCTGCTTGTTTCTGGCATATGTAACTCATCTACTATGATTGTTAGACACTGTCTGGAAACCAGTGATACAAAAAACTCACCAAATTCTTCTCTTCTTCCTTCCTTTTCCAACCCAGTTAACCAACTTTATTTCCTTCAAGTCAGTGTGAAGATGGCAATAATAAGACTGAAAGTGTAATTAACGGGAATTTTAAACCAGGGTTTAAAACTACAGGCTGAGCAATTATTGCTGCTTGAGGTGATATGACCACACTGAGCAGACTTTTCACCTGGTAACATATAACAGCAAAACATGAGGAAATTTTGACCTTTGTTATTTATCCATAAATACTATTTTATCTGAAACTGTCAAATAAACAGAGGTTTCCCTGAACAACTTTTTAATGAAAATCTACTCTTATGTGGTCTACATTTTACTTCCTATAGAACATCAGAACAAAATTCACTTCAATATTCCATTTACTGAGAATTTCATAACACTGAGTTCATAATTAACGCAGGTAAAATCCTAAGCTGTGAAGCAAGGTCTCATCAGGACATTTCTGCATCAAGGGAGCAAGGCAGAATGTCTTCATTCAGTAATTTTCCCTGCATGGGAGTGATAGAGGATAGCTAAAAGATATTATTTGCCTTGCACAAATCTTCATTTATTGTCTTTTATATGATTGTTTCCTGCAGTTACATCAACATACTGTATTTATCCTGGTGACATTTATACACTGTCATTATGCATGTTGAAGATCCCTGATAACTTGATTGCTGGTAGGAGGAAAGGAAGTTTGGTGTTTTTCTATGTTTTTAAACTGAAGCACAACATTTTATATATGGATTTTTATTTGTTTTTATTTGCCTTACTGAGGTCAGAATGAGTCCAATTAACTTCCAAATGTTGGAGCAATAAAACAAGCTCCCATTTGTAAGCTCAGGAAATTATCTGATTGTCCCAAGCCACTGAATCCAGTGTCTTCCTTGGTGTACAAAACCCTGACTGTACTTCGTGTCTAACATCAAACAAAATGTATGCTATTTTATTAACATTGAGACATGCTTTAGTTGGTTAAACTCAACATAATGCTATTAAATTGGCCATTTTAGGACACCAAAATACTTTAATTTTAGTTCATATCTGTTCATCTAAGATCTTGCCAGTGTCCTTGTTGAAGGGATAAAGAGGAAATGGAAATATAATTTTCATAATTTTCTATTTTCCTTTACTTATTAAAAAAGAAAAAAATTAGTAATGTGTGGAAAGGGTTTCTTCCACTTCTTTCAATGAGGTACATAAACGTGCAGAAGTAATCTAAGAATTTTACATCATAAAAGCAGCAAAAAATAAAAAGCAATTCTCAAACTTATACTATCAGAACACTCTACTTAAGTAATGGCACTGTAGATGTCTCCCAAGTAAAAAAAGTCTTACTGATAATAGTGAGAATCCAAAATAAACTATACTGTGAAAAAATATTTAAAACAATGCTTTTCCCTGAGTTCAGTGGATACAGAGGCTACAGAAAACATCTCTGGTGCAGTACACCTGCTCCTAAAGAAGGTTTTTTGTTTTTTGTTTTTTGTTTGGTTTTTTGGTTTTTTGGTTTTTTGGTTTTTTGGTTTTTTTTTGTTTTTTTTTTTTCCTGTAGTGTTTCTGGAATTAAATTATCTCCTTTGGAAAAGAAAGAAATTCACAGACAATTTTCAGTTGTTTTTTTATGTTGTATTGTCTTGTTTTTGAATGGTATCTTTCTATTTATTTTAACAGAAAAACAGAATAAAAATAAAGTGATTTTATTTTAATATAACACTTTATGCACACTTTATTTTTCATTGACATCACTGCAATCAGAAATAAGGGTCTAAATTAGAAACTGAGACTTAAACCAATTTCAATTAACTTTAAGTTAAACTACCTTCATGCCATTATCTGTGAGTTTTATCAGTTTCATTTAGGCAAATTCACCTTGAAGTTGCTTTGAATGAATGAAAATAGTGCTATTTTTATTTTCAGTCTGATTACAGTAAAGTAGAGAAGCCTGAATAGCTGATAGATAAGTTTTTTATTTTTCAGTAGTTCTTTATCAGTTCAGAGCGGGGCATCTCTGATTCATGAACCATATAGCCATTTTAGCCTCTTAGTGTGTTCAGGTTAATGAGTTTAATGAAAAACAATTTAGCTGAGGTATGGAATTTTACTAAGCAAACAACTTCTAGACTGCAGATTATTCACCCCAAACTAGATCGACACGAACTCCAATTGGTACTAAGGACAATCTCTCCTAGTTTAGGAGTAACTTCACAAGAATTACTGTATGAATTATTGCACCAGACAGTCTTACAGCTACCAAATCTCTTATTTCTTATAAAAAGATGTGCCTTTTTTTTTAACCTAGAATGTATGTAAACATGTACCAAGAAATTCAAAATTTAGTAAATAACTGCTGAAATTTCTCAAAACCTCAATTACCTTAAAGGTGAACGATTCCTTCAAAAACAAATTTTAAGCTCAACATAATCACCAGATAAATAGATTTACCTTCTGTTTCCTTTCAGAAATATGGTGCACTGTGTGACAGACCCAGCCTGGTCAGAACAGGGGTTCTGGGCTGTGGGCGGGGTATCAGGAGACCAGTCAGGGGCAGTGAGCACTGGGCTAAGAAAGAACAAAGGACATGGTGAAACACTATCACATCAGTGATTGTAAATTAGAGTTAATTGGAAACTAAATGAATGATGGAAATGTCTATAGAGAGAAAGAGGAAGAGAAAAAGGGAGGATAACTTTAGCAACACTATGAACAGTTTTATTTTTATCTTGAGATATCAAGCCGGTCATTACACAGATCCTAAGAACAAAAGTGTAATTTATCTTCCAGCAGCAGGGATATTTAGTGTGAATCTGAGCCTGGAAATTATTTTTAAGAGAAATCCACAAAGTGTACAAGATGTTCTTAATTTCAAGACAAATGATGCTGCTCTATTCTCCAGTGAAAGATTCAAGGACGATAAGGTTGTGCAGGGTATCAAAAGAAAGGGGTAGGGAGGTTTACAGTGATCTGAATGTTTTTCTTCATATCACTAGAGAAGATGTTAAAAGATGAGAAGATACCAAAGAACACCAGACAACAAAAGAAAGAATTGTGTAAAGCCAACAGGAGTTTAGATTGTTTAGACACAGACTAAGATCAACTCACAGAATCTCTTTGGCCACAGACTGTATTGCCTTGAGCCATTCAAGTGCTTTGTCTTTTTAGTAATTTCATTAAGACAGTATCACATTTTCAAGGCATAGCCTTACAGTATACAGATTGCCTAGCTGTGTCTATATTTTTATTAAGAGAGAACGTAAGTCCTTCTTCACACTGTTGAGTATCGAGAAAGTAAATAAGAGAACCTGTTGCTCCTGGATAGGGTTTCAGTTTAACATTAAAACCAATAAGAACAATACTATTTTAGATTTTATTTTATTTTCATGTGAGTATATATCAATGCCATTTACAACGTAACTCTGGGGTTCTGGTGAACTAGTTCACCTCAATGTCTTCAGATGGATTCAATACTGCAAACAGAAAGCAAATTGCTTGCTCATTTTAAATTGTGATCTGATGTTTCCTCTTTTTGTCTCACCTGGCTCATCACAGTATGCCTTAGGTCTAGCAGGCTAGAAACTCATCATGTAAATTTTCAGATAAGTTGAATGCTGATAAAAGAGAGTTTTGGCAGTGTTCATGAAAAACTTGGCTTCTCTAACATGCTTGATCGCCCTGTAAACTCTTTCTTAACAGTTACAGTTAAGAAATGCAGTACATCTGTATAATGTTAGTGTATAAGCAGAACTGATCAATTAGTCTGTCCTAATGTTAGCTTTCCAGTGACAAAGAAGGTCATGAAATAAGTTATCTGTCCAGTGCTAAGCTTTTGTTGTGCCCCTCATGAGACAAAGTTGTGTTCTGGCATTCGTACTGCCTTAGAAGGGCTTGATTGTTTTTGTCTTTGATAGTAATATTTCTGTGCGGAGTTCTTCAGAGGCAAAAAGTCTTTATCCCAAACTCTCATGCAAAAATAAGTTGTGTCAAAATTGTTTACATTCAGAAACAAACAATAAATAAATAAAAAGGAGGAGATGGGAGAGAAGTAAATAATGGTTCTGCTGGTACTTAGGAGGGATAATACATCATATATCACATATCATATAAGGTTGGAGGTAGTCTACATTGCTTAGATGTGTGTATCTAGAACACTCACTGGTACATTCCGAAATTATTCTTCTGGCATGGGATAACTACAGCAGAGCTAAATTTAAGTGCATAATTTCGGGAAATCATCTAAATATGCTTTAGATTTTCAACTCAAATCAGATATGTGCCAATCAAGGAGTGAATAATTACTGTCTAAATCACTGAATGAGACTCATTAGATCCCAGACATTGTATATATAATAATATGCTTAGATATTGTAACAAAAATGCATCAAATTGGAATTGATATATTCTAACTGGAAAACAGTTAATAAAGCAGTTTGCTCAGATAGTCTCAACAGGGTACATAAAACAGTATACTAAAACTTTTCTCTTTGAGACATGAAGGGGAAGAAAATCCAGTTCCATAGGATGACAGCACAGTGCTGTAGTTTATTTACTCTGTAATTCCAGTAACAATTTCTTTCTTTTCTGCATCAGTCTGCTTTGGCATACATTGTTTTTCTGGCTAATGTTTAACATCGAGTAAAGCAGCAGAACTAGTTAAATGCAAAATGTTACTTCACTGTAACTACATTAAAACCCTGGTGCAAACTAGCAGTAAAATCCTACTTATTCTCTTCTTCAGAATAAATATAAGTAATATCTACTGATAAGAATGCAACTACTCCAAAATATTATTTTATTTTTCTTTTCCTCCCAATAATGTTAGAGAGACTGCACATGAAATAATACTTTATATAATTACATTTCAAGGATGAAAATGGAAAATAAAAAAGCATTTCAGTGAAGGAACAGAGACCAAACACATGGGCTAACAGGAAGCACAAGTAGGTAAAATTCAGTCTGTACTGAGGTGGTCAAAGAAAAAAGGCAAAAGTGCAAAGTATTGTTTTTTAATGTTATTTTGCTCAGATATACTCAGGACACTGACTCACTTTTCAAAATCTTTTATTGGCCAATATTCTTCTAATCATGGTGGACAGAATTGCAGAAACACAGTATGGTTTTCAGTTTGTAGATGTCTGTCATGTTTCCACTTCAGATTTAACACTTTCACAACTATTAATCCTCAGCTGAACTCACATTTGTCATATTTAATGTGATTCAATTTAGTATTCATCATATGCATGTACAAATTACAGGGCTTGCTTTTAAGGAAAGCTTTGGGTTTTTTGGTTTTCTTTTGTTGTTCTTGTTGTTGCTGTTTTTTTGGTTGGTTGTTGTTTTGATTTAGTTTGGTTTTTAATCTAAAAAAAAAAAAATCTGAAATGGAGATCAGCCAGAATAGACACAAAAGCACTTCTAAACAATGTGGGTTTGATTATCACCTGATTAGACACAGAGCCTGCATTTGTCTGATTTAGTGACATTTATTTTAATTAAGTTGTGTGGAGTGAGTGAGTATGTCTGTGTGATTAGTCTTAAATAGATTCGTAAGTAACAATCCAGGAATGCTTGCTGGTCTTTGTTTCCACTATTTAATAGAAAACAACTAAACTAGCCCCCACTCACCACTTTTCATTTTTGAGAAATTAGTATTTGATTCAGTTAGATTGGCACATAAGAATACAGCATAAATATGTAATCCTTATCTTAGTAACCTGGCTAACTTCTGAAATAACTAAAGAAGCTCAACAGTTCTTTGAGTAACTGGTATACAGGAGACACATTAAAAATAGACAACACAGAAAAATTGACTATATTTCTCTTCAAGCTTTTAGATTTAAGCTTTCTTTCAGAGGCATCAATTAAGTGAACTGATTAGGGCTCAAGACAGAGTCACTGCAAAGATGAACATTCATTTATTACAAATTAAATTTAGAACAGGTGAAATCAAGATCACAGTCTTGTTTAGTAGACCTAGAAAAACATCTACCCTGATTAACCTAAGATTAGGTTGGAGTGCCCCATACATAAAGCTATTCCCACCAGTCTTTAGACTTCAGCAAAAAACTTCAGCTGAAGGAGATAGCTCAATAGAAGAATTGTTAAGACTCAGAAGAAAACTGTGCAATGTATTAAGCAGAAAGAAAAATTTTCCTTCCAAATTCAATCATGTTTGTTAGCAGTTACCAACCCAACAGCACAATAAAGTTGAGGCTGCCTCAGCTCCATCATGCGCAACAGCATACAGCCAACCATGCAGGACAGCACAGATAGGAACACCCAACACTCACACAAGCACAAACAACTCCAGTGGCCCCATCCTGTTACTTTCTCTGTCCACACAGGATGAAAGCTAATTAGTGGAAAATACATACAATAATACCTACAGTATGGATCCCTTCAGCAGCTTTTCCCTTTCTTTTCCCTTCATATGTTTCTTCCTACTCACAGCACCCTGATCCACCCATTTTTCCCACCTAGAATGTGTTTTGTAACGTCTTCTAAATTTCAAGATGTTTTTCCCCTGCAAGCCACAGTGAGCTGTGCATTTCTACACACTGTCATTCTTCTCAGTGCAAAAGGTGATCTAGAGAGCTTTTTTAATGATTAAACCCAGGGGGTGAGGATTCCCCAGGACATCACCATGAGAGATGGGAGTTCTATTATTGGAGTTTTCCTATCTATCCTTACACTTCTGTGCTCTGCTGTACACCTAGTGATGAGCCTTTAATCTGGTTACCTTATATAATTTACATCAAATGGTCAAAATATGAAAAAGTAAATGTGCCAAAGAGTTTTGTTGATTGCACAAATGTATCACAGAATCACAGAATCACAGAATTGTAGGGGTTGGAAGGGACCTCCTGAGATCATCGAGTCCAACCCCCCTGCCAAAGCAGGTTCCCTACACCAGGTAGCACAGGTAGGCATCCAGGCAGGTCTTGAACATCTCCAGAGAAGGAGACTCCACCACCTCCCTGGGCAGCCTGTTCCAGTGCTCCGTCACCCTCACTGTAAAGAAGTTCTTGTGCATGTTTGTGCGGAACTTCCTATGCTCCAGTTTCTGGCCATTTCCCCTTGTCCTGTCTCCACTCACCACTGAAAAGAGTCCGGCCTCGCCATTCTGCCCCCCACACCTTAGATATTTATAGACCTGGATCAGGTCCCCTCTCAGTCTCCTTTTCTCAAGGCTGAACAGACCCAGTTCACTCAGCCTTTCCTCATAGGGGAGATGCTCCAGGCCCTTCACCATCTTCGTGGCCCTCCGCTGGACTCTTTCCAAGAGATCCCTGTCTTTTTTGTACGGGGGAGCCCAGAACTGGACGCAGTACTCCAGATGAGGTCTTACCAGGGCAGAGTAGAGGGGTAGGGGGGCATGTAGGGGGCATTATCAATATATCTAAATACTGTGCAGGACAACCTAGGTCATATTCTGTATTCAATTATTTTAAAAGTAATAGAATAAGTTATAAAGATTGCTGGCAGCAAGGGTGATCATGTCCACTGTAAACTGGGATTCTTTCATAACTGGATATTCAAAGTCTATTTGTTATACATTTTTAGGT